TTTTTCTTTTTTTTCCAGATAGGGTCTCACCATACAGTCCAGGCTGGCCTCAAACTCACTTTGTAGCCCAGGCTGGTCTCAAACATTTTATTCTCCCACTTCAGCCTCCAGGTGTCAGGATTACAGTTGTGTGGCATACCTGCCTGGTTAATGCCTGTGGTCTTAAATGTTTGCCAGACATTCAGCTCATTGTTTCCTGCCCTCTATCACCTTGAGCCATCAGATACACTATCCATTACTCACAAATACAATAAAAATACCTGGCCAAATTCTAATTAAAATGCTTTCTAGTAAGTCAAAATAAATTAAAAAGTACACAACAGCAGGCACATTAAAACATCCCATACCTTGCTCCAAGGTAACTTGCCAAGAATATCAGAGAATCTTTTTCTGCTCCAACACACTGGCTGAAGGAAATAACACAATCCTCTAAAGGAGTCACTCCTGTCATTACTGGGATTGGTGTGAAGAGAGGATTTGACTTTGGATCAATTAAAGTCTGATAGTCTATACAAGTAACCTTTTAAAAACAAGAGAAACAGTAACGTCAACCTGGATGAAGAAACTAGTGGTTAACACTAATTCAAATATAGTACCAGTTTTAGTTTCAATGAAATGTTAACGTAAATACTTAAAATGAAAATGATATCTAAAGAACAATACAGACATAAATTCATTACATTTAGATATTAAAATCACAAAGATTGGAGTTGAAATTTTTCAAAATTCATTTTTTCCAATGTATTCATTTATCATTTTTTTCTCTTAATTCTTGAGATGTTGAAAAAGCACGTCACACTTTGGTTGTGAGGAAAAATAAATAGTATGGGATTGACCTAGAGTAACTTACTAAGGGCCAGGACTGGTGGCACATGCCTATAATCACAGTACTTCAGAGGCTGAGGCATGAGGATCACTGTGAGCTCAAGGCCAGCCTGGGCTATACAGTGAGTTTAAGGCCAGCCTGAATTACAGAGCAAGACCCTGAACCCCACCAAAAAAGAAAAAGGAATGTTGTTACTGTGATCCCTGGGACAGTAACCTCCACTCCACCAGGATCAGGACCAAGAGGTCTACATAATTTTGTATTTTAAACATTTTCTTTGCTAAAAGTAAAGTCTAGATAGATAGTACTCAAAACGTAAGTGTCGATTTCTTTAAATTAAACTGCCTAAGAACTAAACATTATCACTTTTGGTATTCATTCAAATATCCTTCAATAGTGCATTCCAACTGTTAGTGTTTTCTTACCAGCCACGTATTTGTAACAACCTCTCCAACCGTTGCCTCTACTTCACATCCCAGCAAGGGAACTACAGCATAATCTGCAACAACTCTGCTCGGAAGGGATACAATCTTTCCCGCATATTCTCTTATGATGTTTGCAATGTTACATTCATTTTCATTACTAAAACCCAAAATAAGGAAACTCTTTTGGCTAAATAAGCCTTCTTCAGTAATTGTAGAAACATCAGGGAGGCAATGACTGACAGAAGACTGGTTTCCTTCTTGTAGAGAAATGTGAGTAGAATCATTAAAGGGCCCAACACGAGTAGAGCCATTACAGGGCCCAACTTCAGACTCTGCAGCTTCAGACTTGTTAGCTTCCACTGGAAGAGAAAAATAGTTCTCTAATGGATAATCTACCTTATAGTTAAAGTTCATTTCCAAACAAGCATATTAATATAACAACAAGTCTGATCATTTAGAGACTTACTCAACTAAGGCTTAAATGTACACAATGAAGAAGGGATGTGGATCTACACCATCCTCAGGGTGACCAGGAATATTATCAGTATCACCATCTTCCATTAGGAAGGACAACGGCAATCATGTTAGTTCTATGTATTCCTACTGTGCTAGAAATGAAAAAGCTGACAGTTATGACGCTCCTATAGGCCTGTCTTAGTTTCAAAACTGGTTTAGATAATTTACAATAGCACTAAGAAGATATTAAAGGAAAAACAGAATTAATGGGCCTAAATGGTGTAACTATGAAGCCCTTAACATGGGGACAACTATATAAATGCACTAAGAAAAAAATCAGTTATTTCTAAAAATTCCCAAGATGTTTCTTACTGAAATCGGAGCTACTAAGTTGTGTAGATTTCTTAAGAGAGTAAGTTATTGAAGACAAATACAAATTATCTCGATGATGCCATTTTAGGATAAAGTTAACTGATACACAGATAATACAATAAAAATATATATCATACCCATATAAAAACATAAGTGTCATTAAAATATACAGTTCTTAATTTCCAATAAGCATTGTCAAATTGGGGCTTAAAATACAAAAAGTAGTAATAAGATATTTTTAAAAACTCTAGTGGAGTATGTTGGAAGGTGTGGAGATTTAGTCAACAAACTACACCTTTCCTCCCAGGATCTACGAAGTAACTTGAGGTGCCTGGATGCTTGGCAGGCCAAGTGAAGAGAAAGCATACTTTCGCTGCCTACATCTTAATGTTCTGCTAGAATTTATCTTGGGATAAGGAAGTGGCTCTTGTGACTATTTGTCTCCTAATGTTTTTACATATAAGAGCTTTATTTTGTATTTTCATAACCATAATATTGAGTCTTAGAATTAGCTGGAGACAGACATTATCTCAACAGCCTGAAGACTGTATGAAGTTTGTACTAAGGTAATGTCACGATATAATGATTAATATATCCTGCTTCTACTAACTCTCGTAAAGCATGTAGTTGTTTATTCTTCTCTGCATCCCCTGTGTCCTGGTTATTGCGTGACCCTTACCCAGGGCCCCCAACGCACTAGACGTTGACAGGAAGGTAGTACTTTATGACTGGGGTTGCCATACTACAGATAAGAGGCTCAAATGGGTCCCACAGACTGTTTTTATATAGTCTGTGAATTCAGAATAACTTTTATATTTTTAAATGGTTGTCAAAACAAAACAAAGTATGTGACAGAGACAGACTATAACTACAAATTCTAAATTGTTTATACTGTTTACCCCTTTGGTGAAAACATTCACCTTGCATTACGGAATTCTAGCAAGCCTAGAAACTATACAAGGATTCACTCAAGGTGTCATGGCAGTGCACACCTGTAATCTCAGCACCTGGGAGGTTGAAGCAGGAGGATGGCTGAAAGTTCAAGGCCAGCTTGAACTACATAGTGAGACCCCATCTCAAAAAAAAAGAAACACTCAAGATAAGCACTGTGTCTGGATGGTATATTCACATAATACTCACATAATGTTAACTGTAAAATAGAATTATCAGTTATATTCCTTTTCTCCAAAACACATCTCAGGTTTTAAATAGATTCTGCAACTTGCCTTGTCACATATAAAGTGGCAGAAATGAGAAATGCAAAGAGGGGGGGCAAAGAAACAGTTATAGATCCTGGTAAATCAAAACAAATTTCACTACATAAAATAATAATAACACCTAATTGTGAAACTAAAAAGATGAAAATATTAAAAATCACATCAGCTGTGTTAGGAAGTATTGTTTGTTGTGATAATTACAGACTAAAAAAAGATAAAAGTATTCTAAGGTTTTTGAGGAAGAAAGTACTAGTTACCTTTAGATTTTGTTATGATGTACATTAAAGTTCCAAGGGTGATCATTAAAAATATAAATATTATATATACATAAATCTATAGGATTCAGGATTGGAGGAAGCACGATTAATCCATCCAAGATAAGATAAAAAAAAAAAGATTTTCAGGGGGTGGAGGGGCAGAAGAATGGGACAAACAGGAGAAAATGAAATAATTATTGGAGTACACATTGGTAAACCAAGTCAACCTTCAGAAAGCAACCCGTATTATGTAAGAGAGATCTACATATTCCCTTGAATCAACTATGTCACTCTGGGTTTATACACTAGAAAAATTCTTCTGCACAAGTTATGTACAAGTTGAAATACTTGAACAATCTCAACAGTGTGTTTCTAATGGCAACAAAGGAACATGACAAAAACATCATAGTGGAAAAGTGACAAACTATGGTATATCCATCCACCTGGGTGCAGTATATTCACAGCTAGATACCTAGGTTAGGCAAGTATTTTTCCTATTAGGTAAAGGTGGGTAGTAGAAAAGAACATACCATGTATGATTTTTTGTTTGTTTGTTTTGGTACCAGGGATCCAACTTGAACCTTGCACTTTCGAGGCAGGCAGCAGCACCACTGAGCTAAATCCCCGGCCCACCATGTATGATTTATGTAAGTTAAAATAGATATAAAATGAAACAGTGCATATACTGTTTATAGATATATATGCATGATATAGGTTATAAGACAAATGAAGAGGGATTCACTAGAGGCTTTTGACAGCAATAATTCTATTTTCTATAACTAGATAACATGTTACTCATCACATTCTTTGTATCTTTTTATATATATATATCAAATATTTCACAATACATTCTACATTTTACAAAAGAAAGAAAAAGGTGTTTCTAACTCTTCACTGAAAATCTGCCTTACCACGCTGGTAAAACTACATGCTGAGGTGAGAGTCCTCAGTGCACCACTGCAGGCATTAAAGACCTCAGTAATCCAGTCAGAAGCATTTGTTACAAATGATCACAAACTTGCACGAAAGCAATGCTAATATGTGTAATAATAGATCAAAATGGAGCCAGTTGGTTGAAGACAGAAGAGAAGATTAAAGGGTTCAGAGCTCAAAAGCCTTGCCTGCTCAGAAAAAACTTACCAACAAAATTTTAAGGGGATGAAAAGGTTTAACTTAAAATCTTGGCAGAGAACATGTATGTATGCATGTATTCAGCAAATAAAGTATTTCTTAGAAACCACGACCCCTACAAATACAAATCAAGTATTTCTTACCTACTGTGGAATTATTGTTTACATATTGAGAAAGCAGATCCTCATCAGCCTGTTCATGCATTTCACTAGAAGCAAAGTCTTTCTTAAAGAAGCTGCTGTTCTTTTTGCAAAGAGCTGTTTTACTCTCAGGTTGATCTGAAACTGGAATTTCTACTGGCTTGTAGCTAGCGTGGATATACATTTCTTCAGGAAGCATGTAACCTTTACTAAAACATTCCAGCAACCATTTTGCTCCCACCACATGAGGCCTACAAAAACAACAAAGAAGTTTAAGCTACATTAGTTTAAGATATGAAGACCATCATCTCACTTCCAAGCAGTCCCATGCTGCAAAGACATGCAATTTTAACAACAATCATTACACAAGTAAAAATTGCTTCGAATTAAAAATTGACAAAACCTGTGTGCTGATTTATTCCAAAACTGCTTCAATTCATCATCATAATCTCCCACAATAACATGAGTTACATCTTCATTAAGCTGATTAAAACGAACTCCACCTCCGTTGTTAATAAGCCTTCTCAGTTTATCTAGCTTTCTGCCACTAAAACCACAAAGATATATCTACAAAGAAAGAAAATACTTGCTTTAGATCAATGTGTTTAAGACGCTTGATTTCCCAGTAAAAACAATTAAGAATAGATATCCAAAAGTAAAAGAAATAAATGTTTAAATCCAATGTGTATAAGACGATTTGTACACATTTTAGGATACATTTAAAAATGAAGTGTTTTCTGAAACTGCTAAAAATAAATTTTACAACCCCACAGTATTACTATCTTTCATAGTAGATATTGATAAGTATTTTACAGCTTTAAATAAAAGAGAAGTCAGAATCCAACATCATCTAAATACTGGAACATAGCCATTTCTAGTTATGCAGGCAGCTTCTTAAATTGTGATGGTCTTACTAGTAAATTTTAAAGTAATTATAGAAATAATACTATAATTATGATAATTATGATTTCAAAATATCTAGGCTTAAATCACTGTTTTCAGTTCCTAACACATTCCCACCAACTTGAACCACCAGTGGTACATGCATGAGTGTTCTACGATGCAACCTGAACCACAGGTGGTTCAAAGCCACCTGGCAGCAAAACATACAAATTATAGCCCCATTGTGAATGTGTTAAGCTCTTTAATTTTCTTACCCATAAAGAGGTTTCTTTTTCATAGTTAGTTTAACCAAAATACGTAAGAGCCAAGGACAAAATGCAAATTTATCAAAATTTATTTTCAATTATCAGGACATATATATCTAACCCAATTTCATCAATACAAAAATCTTTCACCTCTATTTTATATAAGGTGTCTTAAAAATTTAAGAACGACAGATTTCTTCCTGAATTGGTATGCCAAATTGTTACCTCCATTATTAATTTTAAAATTAAGATACAGATACTTTCCTATATGTAAAGAATAATTAAAACTCATATCTAGAACTAATATAGTCTAGAATAAAAGATTAAACAAAATATTTTCTGTTCTACCAACAAATTGGTAAGTTTTAGAAGTATAGAAGCATGAGACACTTTGGCAAATTTCCTTCTTAACAGTAATACAATAAATCTTTGCTACTAGATGAGAATTAAGAAATAAAGTATATTTTAAAACTCTCATTTTTATCCCAGGTGGCTGCTGAAGATGGCACAGGACATATCCTGGGGATAGATGGCCAAGGTTATCTTCTGAGCTGCCTGGAGGCCATCATGGCCAACCAAGTACTGTTGGGCTGGAAGGTAGTGGTTGTGCAGTATGAGGGGGTCAACATTTCTGGCAACTTCTACAGAAAGTAAAGTACCTGGCCTTCCTCTGCAAGTCGGTGAATATCAACCAGTCCTGCAGCCCCTATCACTTCTGGCCCCTAGCCACATCTTCTGGCAGACTGCTCTCTATCAGCTAGTTCTAGCAACCACATAGCTTTTTCTCAATCACAAAATAAATCCCCTTTTCCCATGTCTCACCCTTGTCCCCACAAAGTTTCCTCTAAAAATTCTCAATAATAACACTTCAACCCAACTAAAAGTACTCCAACAAAATCAGATCCTACATCAACTCTTTCTTCTCATCTTCCACTATTCCCCTCTTCAAAATTGCCCCTTAGTGTCTAACATCCATTCTTCTCACCCCACTTCACCTACCTTCCTCATTGCAGAACAACTACAGGTAATAAACTCTCAGTGTACATAGAGAATATGGAAAGGGCGGGGAAGAGTAACTGCAAAGGGTATCATATACAATTGTTGTAACATTTTACCTGTAGATGCAGTTATAATCAGAAGTAAGTCTTTTGGCAAAACACAGGGACACAGTGGACATCACTTAAAGTAAATAACAGAAGGAATGAATACCAGAACAGGACATACAAAGCTGGAGATTATTCAAAGGGAGGTGACATCCTGTTAAAAATCTCCATATAAACCACAAACTCTCACTTCTCCAGCCCCCAATCTGCAGTAAACAACCCCTCCCCAAAAAACAGATGGGAAAAAAGGACCACATATTATTTTTTAAAAAACATATACAAAACAAACAGAAGACTGAGGAAGCAAGGAAATAGATCTTTGAACCTCTACAAAGCAAAACAGGGATCGCAAAGGGAGAAAAAAAAACAGGAATACGAGGAAGCAGAAATCTATGAAAAGTTCATAGATGGGAAGAAGAAAATAGACTAGTTGAAGGAGGAAATGAACTAAAAGTTTACAGCAATTTCACTCAATATGCCCCTGGTAAATTTCAGGGAAATAAAAGATAAAAAACTGGATGTGCTAACCAGAACAGTTCAAAATGGGAAAAAACAACAATATGAAATCCTTGTAAAGATGTCACAAAAATATCAGAAATTTAAAAAGTGTATAGAATTTATACATTGCAAAAATGACCAATGTGAAGACAGAACACCTGACATTAAGGACAAAATAGTAAATTATGATAAAGAGCTCAGGGGAACCAAAAAGAAAATAAAGAGAACAAGAGAAGACTATCCTGCAGCTACTAGACGACAAGAAAACCAATGTACGGCTAATTGCAGTTAGAAATAAACTAGAAGATAGCACAGATGGATCACTAACACATTTACAGAAATCACGGAAGAAAATTTCTCAAATATAAGAAAAGACTTTAAAATACAAGTAAGTGATATTTACACAACACCAAAAAATTATGATGAAAAAAGAACCTCACCAAGGCATATCCTTGTTAAATTACCAGATATCCAGCAAAATAACAGAATTTTAAAAGCAGCCAGAGAAAAACCAAAAATCACATATGAAGGCTAATCAATTAAAATCATAGCAGACTTCTAAACTCAAATCCTAAAGGCCAGAAGAGCTTAGAGTTAAGTATTTCAAGTCCAAAGAGCAAATAACTTCCAATCCAGATTAATTTACCCAGCAAAGCTATCCTTCAAAATTGATGGAGATATAAGGTATTTCCATGAAAAAGACCAGCCCAGAAGATATAGGAGTGTTAAACCAGCTCTAGAGAGAATACTTAAGAATATTCTCAACAGAAACAATGAATCAGGGGCCAGGGGTTTAGCTCAGGAGCACCACAACAGCCTTGCAAGTGTTAAGGTCCTGAGTTCAATCCCTGGTACCGCAAAAAAAAAAAAAAAAGAAAGAAAGAAAGAAAGAAAGAAACAAACAAACAAACAAACTAGTGAGGTCAAAGGATAAACAACAGCACAAAAGAAGAACAAAGGACATATCAACAGATACAGAAGGTAATGATAGTAAATGACCAACCTATTTCAGTAGTATCTCTCAATATTAACAGCTTCAACTCTTCAAATAAAAGACCCAAGACTGGCAGATGGGATCCAAAAAGAGAATCTAAGAATCTATTGCACTCAAGAAACTCATCTAATCCAAAGAGATATTCAGACTAAAAATTAAAGGATGAAAAACATTTCATGCACCAGGACCCAGAAAACAAGTAAGAGTAGAAATTCTATCAGACTCAATAAACTTCAAGTTGATTAGAAGAGACCAAGAAGGTCACTCCTACCTAGTAGAGGAAACAATACAAGAAGAGATAGCACTGGTAAACATATATGTACCCAGAGCACTAATCTTTATAAAACTAGAACTACTGAAATTAAAAGATTAAAAAAAAAAAAACACTAACAATCATAATAGTGGATTTTAACACTACTTTCACTAAGAGAAAGATCAACTAAATAAAAAAACAATCAAGAAATTTCAGAGTTGAACCACACCCCTGAACATTTGGACTCAATGGATATATGCAATTATTCTACTCCTCTATGACACAGTATACATTCTTTTCAGCAGCACACTATATTTTCTCCAAAACAGAGCATAAACTTGTCCACAAAGCTTGCTTAATACAAAAAAAAAAAAAAAAAAAAAAAAAAGATCACAGACCACAAACAGAAATCAGCAACACAAGAAATTTCAAAAAAGGCAAAAGCTCCTGGTACATTAACAACATACTCCTCAACAACCAATGGATCAATGAAGACATTTTAAAATTTCTAGAATTTTTTTGTTTTGTTTTGTTTTGAGACAGGGTCTCACTACATAGTTGAGACTGACCTGGAATTCACTACGTAGATGGTCTCGAATTCACAGCTATTCTCTTGCCTCAGCCTCCTGAGTGCTGGGATTACAGGTGTGCACCACCGAAAAATTTCTAGAATTTAATGACAATTGACATCAAAACCTCTGTGGCCCTTGTTACCTTTGCTGCCTTGTGTACCCTATTATTTCTCCTCTGTGATGCTTGCTTGCCATCCCAGCCTCAGAGCCAGTTGATTATGGACCAAAACTTCTATGAATGTGAGCCAAATAAACCCCTTCCCTTCTAACTTTGGTGTTGGGCATTTTGTCTCAGCAATGAAGAGAAAAGTAACTAACAGAAATATGCTACCAGAAAAGTGGGGTCGTTGCTGTGACATTACTTGACAATGTGGCTCAAAAGCCTTTGGAACTGTCTTATGGGAAGAAGATTCAGGAAAGATCTGAGACACTGGCTACAGAAGCAGCAGTGGAATGCCTTAGGCTGTATTGATTCTAGTGAGAGTTCAGAAGACCAAAAGGCCTGTAAAGAACAGGCTCAGGATGTTTCTGCTGGGAAGGACTGCGTTGATTGCTGGATTCCAGATGATGTGCGTAATGGCTTAATAGAAAGTTTGCCTGCATTTTGCTTGTGTTCAGAGACTTTGCTGAAAGATTCTGAGCTGCCAGCTGAAGAAGTAGGGCTGGAATGGAGATTCTGTATGGGAGATTCTGATCAGAGATCAGAAGACCATAAAGCTTATAAGACCATGCTAGGGAGGTTTCTGCTAGGAAGAAAGACTGCTCTGGGTGTTGGACTCCAGACAATGTGTGTTATGGATTGACAGAAAGTTTGTCTTCATTTGTTGGTTTCCTGAGACTTTGCCTGAGACTGAGATTAGGGGCAGTGGACTAATTAATCTTGCAGAAGAAATTTCAAGGCAGTTGAATATTGAGGCAGTGGCATAGCTATTGTTAGGGCTTTTAGCCAGATCTATGCTAAGAATCAAGAACAAAAAGTCCAGCAGAATAATTTAAAAC